GCGGCGGCGGCAGCCTCGGCTCGCGCGCTCGCTGCGCACCCACCCCGGCCAATTTTAGTTCCTTTCTCCCCCCCGGCGCCCCCTAAAACGTTTCTGTGCGCACGGTCCGCGAGGAGAATATTTATATTTGCAGCCCTTGGTGCCATCCCGGCCCCGGCGCCCTTTGTTTAAAGGCAGATTTTGATGAAACAGGGGCGGTCGTGAAATCTGGAGCTGCCTGGGTCAAGTGATTCCAGTCCTCCCCGAAATAAACGTGTCTGGGGGAGGCTAAAAAGGCAGATAGCGCACCCATTTTATAGGGATAGGGCCAGTGGGGGGTAGCGATCCTCCTGGAGGGGTTGTTAGGCTCCGGGGCAGCTGGCAGAAAATGTTATTAACTTAAGTTGGACAAGTACTTGTGTGAAATTTGATGGGTTGTAAGATGGCGGTTCCCAGTTGTTTCCAATGTCTCCTCTTACATTTGTGCTTAAAATGCTAAAGTTTTGGGGGCAGCGGCTGCTGGGAGAGGACAGGGGGGACCAAGGCTGRGGAATAACTTTTTTGCAGACTTAGCAATTTTGCTGTGATCCTCGGGAATTGGGGTGTGCGATTTGCTCGAGCCTGTGGAGCAAAGGTGATGTGCCTGTAGCTTGCAGTGGTTGCCTTTTTTTTTTTTTCAATTTATTTTCTCTGAGTTCCCCCCCCCCTTTCTTGAGCCCGGGGAAGGATAAATTAACGTGAAATCCTTTGTTGGGTCTTAACGGTGTCACGAGTTGGCTCGTCATGCTGCTCAGAGGCAGCCCAGCAAAGTTGGTGGTGTGCGCTTGCGGAATTGTATGGCCTTGGCAGTATAAAACCTGCGTCGTTTCGGTGTGTTTACTGCAAATATTTGCGGATAAAGAGGTGAAAAGGGGCAGGAAAATCGCATTTCTCTGAAAGTGAGACGGTCACTTTTCAGCGCTTGCGAGCCTGGGTTCCCTCCGGTACCCGCAGGGGAGCTGAGGCGAGTCCCGGCGAGGTGCCCGCGCGGGCGGCGGGCGCTGCGCGCTCCGCGCTGCTCGGGGTCACCTATTTCATGGGGCTGTCCCAAAGAGCAGCGCGATTCTGGAGACCGGGTGCACCCAGAGAGCCTCGCTACGTCCTGCAAACTCTCTGCTAGCACCACTTTTTTTTTTTTTTTTCTTTTTTTTCTTTTTTTTTTTTTCCCAGTTTGCCAAAGATACCAAGTGCTGACCTACCTGATCAGGCGGCTAGCTAGAAAATTATCACTTTCATATATCCTGGCGTGGGCGCGTTGTGTGGTTCGGGCAGTGAGTTTTAGGGAGCTGATGTGAAGGCTTGGGGTCTTTTTTTCCACCCTTGCGCCATTGCTCGGGTCTTGCCTGGCCGCAGCGTGCGAGGYGAAGATATTTGAGCTACACGTGCTCCCTGTGCAAGAAACACTAGCCCTCCTTTAAAACATATGTGGGCATTCTTAAGTGAAAGTGTAATAATAGACTGCGCAGGGATTGATAAGAGGTGAGGATGCGGCGTGACAGCTTCCCCGTGGCTGCCCGCAGAGTTTTCCGAGTGGGAAAGCGGCCGCGTCCACGGCGCTCTCCCAGGGATGTCCCCGTGTTTCGCGTGTATTTTCTCGCCGAGACCTACCCAGCCACGCTTCGTAGCTTGTTGCCTTGATGGGTATTTATTAATAGAGCTGGCCCTTAGCAGGGGAATGTCCTTCTGCTTTTCCTCCTTTTGACATAACCCGTTTCAGGCCTCTAAATAATCTGCTGGCCGGCGCTGCGYGCTCCCAGCACGGAGGTCTCCACGCACCCCCCGTGGAGCCGTCCCGCGTGGCACTGCGTGGATATCAGTGTCCCCGGCAGTTTGCATGGCCCGAACCGTCTCCCCGAGCGCAGCTTTTCCGCGCACCCGCCGCTGCGCTGCGCGGGCAGGAGCCGAAAGCGCCGCGGCTGCGCGGGGGCTCCACGCGCGGGGGGCCCACGCGGGGGGTGGGGTGGGACCCTGCTGGGGAGCCAGGCGCCTGGTGCCGCTCGCGGGAGCGAGTCGCCGATTTCCAAGATAAGCCCCAGCACGCTGAAAACGTGCTAACTTCGGGCAATAAATAACCCGCGTTTAGGGGTTGCTTCGACAAAACAAGTTTCACGGTTGGATTTAAGCCTCCTCCTTTGGGGAGGGGGSTGCGTGAACTAAAACGTGTTAACGCCCCGAAACGTTTGGGCCAGGCTGCGCGGGCTGGCGCGGAGGAGCAGCCGCTTGGCGTGACCCCGGTCACGGCTGGGCTTTGAGCTCACGGATTTATGAACGATAAGGTTCTGCTCTTAACAAATAAAACAGCCCCGCGACAGCAGCCTGTCCGGGTCTGGGCACCTAAGGAGAGCCCGGCGTCGCGGGCTCCGCCGTCCCGGGCTCCTCGAGACGAGGCTCGGAGCCTTTCCCGGGGAAAGCCAAGCGCCAGGGTCCCCTGGAAGCAAGAAGTGTAGGGTCAGGGACCCCGGGAGCGCCGTGCAAACCGCAGTGCAGGGCAGTGGGGCTCCGCGTTGGTGGCCGGGGCGAGGAGCAGCCCCGGGCATCCCCTCCGGCCGCTGCCCGGGCACGCCGCTTCCCGGCGCCTGCCCCTGCTCGCCCGGGGCTCTGAGCGCCGCGGCTCGGGGCGGCTCCGCCGGCGGCTGCACAAGTTTCTCGCGCCGAGGTCGCTCGTCGCCGCTGCGGGCGCTTCTTGGCAAACGCCGCAGCCCCGTCCCGGACGGGGCGGCCGAAATTCCAGGCGCGCGGGGACCTTGGAGCATCGTCCCGCGCCGCTGTTCCCGCGGGCGGCCGGGGCGCGGGGAGCTGCGTCCCGGCGGCGGGACGGGGACATCCCGCGTGTCCCGGGAGCGCCRGCGCGGGGCGAGGAGCGCTCTGCTCCGCGCTGTCATCTTGCTGTTCGTGATCTCTTTGACAGAAAATAATTTCCCGTGCAGTTGGCGTAGACGATAGGGTTTTTCCCTCCCGTGGAGTTTCCCCTCCTATTCCCTCTTATTTTAAGTTGTGTGTAACGTTAGTGCCACTGCCTCCGATGGGGGTTTATGGGTTGCAGGCTGTGAAAATGACATTTGTTTTTCGCTCTTGTCGCTGCATTGTGTTGACAAGGTGTTGATTTAGCTTTAGGAATGATCTGGTCACATGGTGCCGTGCGTGTTGTCACTAATGTACCGCTTAAAGTCGGTTTGGAGCTTTTTTTATTTTTTTTTCCCTCTTTATTTATTTATTTTATATTTCCTTGGTGCGTTTCATTGCTGGAAGGGAGGTTTCCCGGAGGACCCTGATTTGTGTTTTCCTTTTCCCCCACACCTGGCCCTGGTGCTGCTGGTCTGTGCCCACCCCTTGCAAAAACTTCGCTCCGGCCGCGGGAGCCTTTTTCAAATGCGACCCGGAGCGGGGGGGTGGGGAGCAAAGAAGGAAAGAAAGAAAGACAGAAAGAAAGAAAGCGAGAAAGAGGAGAGAAGGGGTGGAGGGG